TGAGCTGTTATCACTGTAAACAATGTTAAATTATTCTTCACATGCTCAGTTTATTTTTTGAGAACAATTATTTAAAAATAAAATCTCTCAGTCAATCAGAAACTCGGATTCACGCCTTCAGGGAAAGTCACGTTTGGACGCTCACATCGATTTTGTTTTTCGTTCGGCGGGCTGATGCCTTCAGTGTAGCTTTTGCCTCTTCCGACATAGAAATCATCTGAATCTTCTTTCTACCTCTCTTTCTTTTCACACCACGCATAATGTAATGATACAAATTAGGAAAAAACGCTGAGGAAATATAATGTTTGGTTTGCTAGCGAGCGATAACTGATTTGAGAATAATTGCACATGCGCGTGAATTGAATGAACTATGACCCGTACAATCTCGATTTGCATATTGTCAATCAAAGGTCCTGTTATTTGATTACTCATGCAAATTAGGCAATTGGACATAAACATTGCCACGTGTGAGTGTTTTTTATTTTTAATCAGAAAATAACCAGCAATTTTAACGGTGTTCTAATAAGAATTCATTGGTCAAATTTTCACAGAATGTTCTTTAGATAAAAATCTATATAAAAAACGAAAAAAAATATTTTTGATTGAAATTCACAAATAAACTGCATCTCTACCTTAAAATGGAAAACTGAGCGAAAGGCCGATAAAGCAGTTTTAACAATTTAAGTTTCGTTTACAATTATTTAAAAAATTAACCTAAATTTAGCAAATCCTTGGCTTTGATTGTACTGAAGTATAGCTAGATTATATCCAAAACCATACAATGAAAACACTTTAAATTTGAGAAGTCTCCTGTAATGTTCGTAATGTCATAACCATGTGGAAAATATACACAAACACCATTTTTACAAACCCGCAGATTTAGATGCGATATTCGCCAAATCCAGTAAAGTTAGGCAAGACTGGTTTGTTTCGCCGACAATATCTCCCTCTGGGTTCTCCTTTTCCTTGGCTGTAGGTGCCAATTCTGGAAATTCCACTTGGTTTGCCATTCCAATTTTTGGTTGAAGCGTAGTCAATGCTGTTGGTATATGTACTGGTAAACTTGGACTTGTTTCCGCGAGTCTTGCCATTACTGTACTAACTGGTGTAACGGGAACTTGCGTTGTTGGCATGCATTCACCTAACATAGGTGCGGGCATTGTCATCACATTGCTAGTAGGTGGTCGCATAAACGCCCAAGGAATGATAAATGAAGTAGGATTTCCATATGGGTGTGTTTAAACCGAAGAACAAAGAACGAAGACAGAATGTTCATTCTGTTTAATCATAACATAAATATTCTTCGTTCTTCGGTTTAAAGAAACCCCCACCCTAATCTTTAAAACGAAGAATACACATTAATATTCAAATTAAATAAATTTACATGCAGTCATCGTTCATGCTGTTTAATCATAATTCTATGATTCTTTAACGCAGACCACATGTTCATACCAATTTTACCGAAACAAGGAAAGAATTTCACATGTTAATGTGGAGTGTAAAGACACCTTCATGGTCGTTTGTCAAATTATTGTGCTGTCATGTTTCCTGTGCAGTGTGAAGAGCAAACATTGATTCTATGCAAACGACTGAACGATTTTTTGATATAAACACTAAAATGAATAATAAACAAAAAGCACTACATGGAAATAGTAGTTTAAACTTCATTTAATTGCGACCTTTACAATGTTATCCGCGTACACTGGCCGACTGTAATGTTGAGTGCAGGGTGGCGTGCCCACCGCACCGGTTGACACCTAGGCTCGTAGATCGCGTTGACGGCCTATTTGCTACCATTAGTTTTATAAATGAATCGCACCTAATATAGAAGCTTAACAGCCTCATGCCAATGGCAATATTCTTATTTTTTTTAGATTTTGTTTTTCATTCTGTTTGACTGTTTTTTCGAGTTTAAAAAAATGTGAGCTGACTGGAGCCTTCATCCTTTGGATATTTATTAGACTAGATACCAGCCGATACCCCCCCCCCCTCCCGCCGCGCTCATAGAGACTGCGTACAGTTGATTATAGTACATGCATGGGCTCCCTGTGGGACGAATGCCGATTTGTAGACACGCAATCAACACGATGACTGACCAAAAGTGACTGAAAGACAGACGCGCCTCAAAGTCTGGGGGTATCGGACTTAGTAGCAAAAATAGAAAACATTGTGGGCAATATCTGTCAATCATTCCTTTGATTTGCAGTCGATGTTTATATTTCTAGTTACAACTTTAATATGTGAACGTGAAAACAAATTTTAAAATGTGTAAACTATTGTAGAATGTTTTCTATAGCTAGCAGCGTTAAATCAGTGCCTGGATTTTTTTATTTCTGTAATTTTTTTCTGTGACCATTTTTCGCTAAATATCACAAAGTCGTTTCGAATTATATATACACGTTTAGTTCTTTGTATTTGGTGAAATAAAACATTCATTCAACTCATCCACGTCATTTTTACGTCACGAAACGCTCCATTTCTAGACACACGGTTTTTCTACCATGGCGTAAATAACCTTACCCCGGAGACTACACATATAAATGCTGTTGGTGCCGCCCCTCAGAAAACCATCTCTGTCACCTAACACGTGAATGGTTCGTCTTTCTTGGGAAAACTGAGTCAATGGAAGAGTGCATTCTTGCTAGTGGGCGAAGGGGTTGACACACGTTTCATTCGTGCAGAATGGCTCAATTATCACCAAGTTAATTGCTAATATCTCTATCATTATATGCATAAATAATACTATATTTGTGGAGTGAAAAGCAGCATAATCAATATAGCACATGCACCATATACTGATTTACATACATAGGTAATAAAATGGAACATTCACGCCTAGGGAAAATGTCAAATTTGGCCAATCACATTAGGCCACTTTTTATAAAGAGGGTTATCCATCGTAAACAGCTCCACAATAGAGAAAGGTACACAGAGTGTCCTTTCTCTTTTTTTTTTCTCTCACTATTAATATAGGCGAGAAACCGAGTAGAAAGAGAGCGAGCGAAATTCAAGCAATTAATTACGTTTCCCGTAAGTATAGTTTTGTTCTTCGATTGTTACCGATCGTTATATCGGGTCAGCTGTTTGCGAATTTGAACTAGAATTTGTCCCGGGCCGGCTGGGGGGGGGGGTGGTAATACATGGAAACGTCGTATATATTTGCCGTTATCGCCTTCAAACCCCCTACCCCCTTCTAAACTGCCAAAATGCAAAACAAATGTGTACCATTTCAGACAATTGACTAAAAATGGATACCCCTTCTTAGACTATGGTTATTTTTTCACACGAGTAGTGAATTACATGAGCTATTTTCAGCAAGAATTGACGATTATTATGTCGCGAACACAGCTTTTAAGCGATTTTTGAACTTCTTTGTAATTCTAGTAATGAATGCTAAAATTAATGTCGCTTTTTACAAATACCTTTGCCCAAAAAGGAACCTCAGTCCAGACAGTTTGGTTCAAATCGAGGATCCAATCCGGCGCACATACCTGCAACAGCTTTCAATGAAAGTAAACCCCTTTCGGGAACTTTGTATATAAGAACTACCACAGAGTGCAGTATTGTTATTTGTATGAATTACAACTCCAAACAGATAATCTCGTCAATTTATTTCAAATTAATATTTAATGAGAGATCACCAAATTTGACGAAGGCACGCCCGTCTGAATAACAACTGCGCAATTGCTGTGTGGTGCCTGGATATCGGATGACCTAGACAGGTCAATGATATGCATTGGCGAAACTAAGACGTTTCTGGGCGTGCCCAAGTAACTTCTTGTCCAGAGATAGACCGCCGTGCAACCTGTTTTCGTCCATACAAATCTAAATAATTCTTCACCTACAGCAGATACAGCATGCAGAATATAATACAACTTGCCATTGTTTGATTGCAATTTTAAAATCTACACAGTCAAACATATTTTACTACTCCCGGCACAAACCATTTCCTTATTTTTTTATAAATATTTATAAATTCCAATGGCAGTTGAATCCAACAAGCCTGACTGGGGACTAAGACTGCATTTTAAAATGTTCCATTAATATTCCGTCGACCAATAGAAACCTCTCGTATTATTCCATCGACCAATAGAAACCTCTTGTTTCAGTTTGAATTGTGAAATTTATAAATATTTATAAAAATATTAGGGGGAATGGATTTGGTGTGTCAAGAGTAGTATTCAATTGTGTAAGACCAACCTAATCTGAATTTGTATTGAACAGTTAAAAAGAAGTAATACTATTCCTCATTTTGTTCTGATCACCCATCTCTGTTCTAATCGTTCACCTTCATTTTTTAAATTTTTTTTCACATATAGCCCCCTCATGTCAGCTGAAGGTATAGTCACCAGTAGTCCAATGATGTCACTTCCGAACCCATTTCCAACACCATACAGGATTCTTCTCCATTCTATCAGCCAAGAGCTGCAAAAAGACCACGTGGATCAGCTAAGGCTGTTGTTCAAGTCTGAAGAAGACCAAGGTAATGAATGCATCACCTACGTGAATTACTGATATATTGCAAAACACACATTGTAAAAGTACAGGAAAATATTTATTTTTTCTGGTAATCCAGACAATTTTGTAAAATTAAGTTGAGTTTTTGTTGTCTCTATTAGACATTTGCAATTATGCAATCGAAAGTTAAAACATGCAAGCATTTCTATAGCAGCAGCAGCGTGCATTGCTACTCTTCAAAGGGAAAATTGAAAACAATAATATGCAATATCTTCGATGTTAAATATTTATGAAATAAATGTTTTTTTATTACATGCATTAAAATTTTATTTGGAACCATCTTCTGAAAAAAAAAAAAAACATGTGTGACGAGTGTAATGGTGAGAATCATTTTTTGGGGGGAAGGTCTGACAACCATATTGTTATGTATGTTATTAACATTCTGGCACAGTGTTTTGTGTCTCTCAATAAAATATTTTTCTTCTCTTCATCATAGGAATGGGTTTTACAATTGAAGATGTTGATTCCATCAGAACAGGAACCCAGTTGATCCTCAGAATGGAGGATCGAGGAATCCTGTCAAGAGGTAACCTCCATGCACTGAAAAGAGGTCTCCATCTCATCAACAGAAAAGATCTTGTTGATAAAGTTGATACCTATCTGAGCATCGACTGTGATCAAGATGGCGGAGGTTAAACGGAAGTGACGAAGAGGACTTTTGCATAACATATCACTATGTGATATGTTATGCTTGGAGATTTATACAACTGAACTCATTAACGACGGACATTGGACTCCTGGTGAAATATGCCTTCAGCTGACATGAAATGTCGCCGTGACGACATCGCCCCCCAAAAGAAACAAAACAAAAAACTCAACTCAACAAACCAAACCAAACCAAACCAAACCCAAACTACGCTTCGAAAGGTGGCGTTGGTTGGGGGAGGCATGATTAATTTTTGTGTTTCCCTCAACGTCGCCACCCAGTTCCGACCCTATTCAAACTACACAAAACTATGAATTACTGTTTAGCTAGGAACTGGGTGGAAAGTGGTGAACTTTGCTGTCCCATGCTTTTAAGCATGTGGTGGTGAGGTTCATTGTTGGGAGATGTGAAAATTGTTTTAGTTAGGTAACGAATTATTAGATGTAGATTTAGGATTTATTAAGAGTAGAAATATAATTCAGAATTAACGCGCTCATTAGTGTGACTATAACAGTAAATTATCAACTGAAATGAAACCATCTGCTATGAGAGTTTAATTTGAATAACTAGCACTTCAAAGTCAAAGTTAAATTTTGCAGTAAACCATTTCGTCATACAAACACATTAACAATGTTCAAAGCTAAACACAACTATGCACATCAACTTCCGATATCAAAAGAATTTGATAGGAATATGATGACAGAACATTTAAGAACATCTAAATAAAGAAATGTGTCAAAATCTACTAATGCAAACTTTAGACATTGCTGAGTTGATAAAAACATGGAGGTTAAATTAAATAACGAACTGTTATAGTTTTGCATGTTTTTTTTATTGTCTTAATTATTGTTGATTATAAAATCTGAACGATGAATGCAATTCGATCAGTTAATCTCTCTATCTGCCCGGGTAATTGACTCAAAACTCACTAATATGTTATAGTTCCCGGGTGGATTTAGGAGAAGCATTGGTCTTATTGTGTTATAGATTTATTGAAGTTAATTTGCCAAATAACACTTTACCCAGCAGAGTGGGTACAGGGTTATTGGGCACATAACAGAGTGCTTTAGTAATTATGGAGAATGTAATATTCCAGAATCTCAATTAATAAAAAGCTTTGTAGTGCACGATTGGTTGTAAACTGTTTTATTCATATTGATGCTGAAATTGACACTATTACGAAATACCAATCACCTGAGTGAAGGTACAGTGATTATGTGGGTTCTATCCCAGA